CTTGCCGTGCATCCATGTGTTGTTGATGCCTCCCCTTCTTGTGTGGCCCCAGATTGTCCAATGTGTAGCTGGCACTGTGCAGGTGGCTTCACATACACCAGCCCATCTTTTGTCCTCACAACAGTCTATGAGAGGCATTCTTATTTATCCTCATTTTATAGACAGGAAAGTTAAGACTCAAGAGAAAGTATTTTACTCAAGGCCTTGAAGCTAGGAATCAGAAGGGCTCAGATTCAGGCCCAAGGATGTCCACCTCCAGAACCCATATCCTTTCTGCCATCACATGGTCTCTAGCTCAGCAACTTAAGACATAGGCAGCTTTCAGATGGGGAGACTGTGAACCCAGGAGACATATGGAGACGTCTACTAAAATATTAACAACACAGTCAATGCACTGAAGGTCACAAAGGGATAAGTGAACATGTCAGGGAAGAAGAGGAAGAGCTTTATAATTCCTAGTTGGCATGTTTTCTGAGGGTTCTCCATTGCCTCCTATTTAAAGTCCAAACTCCTTCACTTGGAAGTGATTATGGAAATTTTTGGAAAATCTAAATAGATGGAAAGGGGGAGGGAAAGAGAAAGAGAAAGAAGTAACCCCCATCAATATAGACTGTTTACGCTCCTTCCTGCTGTCTCGATAATGACCTGAACTGAAACGAACAGCAGGTAGTTCTGTAACTTGCTTTTCTCATGATAGGAAGTTGTGAATGTCTTTCTGAAAAACACATAATTTTGAATTTTTAGGTCGTCCATCTGTTGAGTGTATGATTTCTTCCATCTCTTGGTTGTTATAAGATCTTTACCATCGTTAAGTAGTCAACTGTCGCATCTTTATCGTGTTATGGTTCCTAGTTAAGTCTGTGACCCGCTGGAAATGTATTGTGGTGTCACATGTGAAACAAGCTCTAATTTGCTTCTTCCCCTCCCCTACCCCGGTAGCCAGTTTTCCCAATTCTAACTGTTGAATGGAATTGTTTAATGTCCATTAGCATGGGATGCTTTCTTTATTCTATAAAATATCACATTCTTCTATGGATGCCAGGACCCAGATAAGGACTATCTGGTCTGTTCTGCTGCTTTTTCTTCCTCTTTACTCCTGGGCTAGTGCCCCACATACTTTTTTAATAATGATAGTTCTATCCTGTGTTATCTGGCAGAGAAAATTCCCCTTCCTGACACTGATTTCCCAAAAATTCCTTTTTTGTTGTTGTTGTTTAAGTTTATTTAGTTGAGACACAGAGAGACAGAGAGAGAGAGAGAGAGAGAGACAGAAAGAGAGGGGGAGAGAGAGAAGTCCAAGCAAGTTCCTCACTGCCAGCACAGAGCCCAACGTGGGACTCGAACTCATGAACCTTGAGATCATGACCTGAGCAGAAACCAAGAGCTGGTAGCTGTTAACCGACTGAGCCACCCAGGGGCCCTTTCCCAAAAATTTCTGAACTCTTTGATCTGTTTATTCTGTCCTGTGAAATTTAGAATCTGTAGGTGAAGATTCAAACTCTCATCTGTAATTTGATTAAAACTGCTTTAAGCCTTTATCTGAACCTGAGGAGAATTGATATTGTGATATTGACCCTTTCCAATTGGGACCTTGATACACTTTTCTGTTTTTTAGCCTCTCTCTCAGTGGAGTTCTTTTTTTGTTCCCCCATGTATATGTTTTTTGTTAGATGTATGCCTACTTTTTTTGGAAGCATTTGAAAATTGTTTCTGAATGAGAGCATGGAGATATTTTCCATATTTCTTTTCATTTGAGTTGCTGGGATAGCATTCCACTGTATGGTGGTATCATAATTTATGCAATTCCTTGCCTAGCGCTGTTTCATTTCTTTGCTGTCATGGACTGTGTTGCATTGTACAGATGTTATTTTGTACATGTTGAGGTAGAGCTACAGAATAGATACACAGAAGGGAGACTGCTGGGTCAGAGGATAAATGCATTTGTGATTCTGATGGATATTGCCAAACTGCCCTCTGTAGAGTTATTAGTTCTTTTCATAATTGCTCAGCATTTATTTTTATTTTTTTGTGTGTGTTTATTTATTTTTGAGAGACAGAGCATGAACAGGGGAGGGACAGAGAGGGAGACACAGAATCTGAAGCAGGCTCCAGGCTCTGAGCTGTCAGCACAGAGCCCGGTGAGGGGCTCAGACTCAGGAACCATGAGATCCTGACCTGAGCCGAAGTCGGACGCTTAACTGACTGAGCCACCCAGGCGCCCCCGAGCATTTCTTTTTAATAGTATCATTGGTGAGCATTAATACTGAAGTCAGTTATAGTAATTGCAGTCTTTGTTGAGAACACGTATGTAGGACTTCTCTCATTTGACCCTCTGTAGCATTCCCATATGACGTGGGGATTATCCCTGTTTAACAGATAGAAGATACAGGCAACAAGAGGCTAAGTGACTTGCCAAGGGCACAGAACTGAGGTCAGATACATATTTGCCCTCTGCTTCCCTTGACACTTACCTCAGTCACTGGCCCTGCCTCTTGGTGATGGGTCTCTGTTACTTAGGTCACGTTTCTCCAGGCTGGAGTTGTTGAATGCTCTTGACCCAGTGGCAATCCCCATGCTTCCCTCACACTCTGAGCTCTCCAGGAAACCTCTGCTAGCCTGGCATACATCTCCTGTGTTTGGTCAAGAGATTCAGGCTCCGAAACCTTGCCTTGTCGGGTGATCTGGAGAGGTGGAGAGCCAGCCATGCTGAGCACCAGTGCCTAGTGCCACAATTTTCGAGTCAGGTTGGCCAGCAGGGTCTTTACTGGCAGTTCCAGGACAAGCTGATCTTTAACTGAGGCCAGAGTGGCTCCACCTAAGAGCCTGTCTCCTGGCCTCAGGTGGATCGACTTATTATCACTACTGTGGATAATAGATGACACAGTATTTCTGGGCAAGTAACTAACAATATTTTCCTGGTAGTATTTGAAGAGGCAGCATTACAGTGTTTCAGAGCACAGGCTTGCACCAGACTGCCTGGCTTTTTATATTAGTTTCCTATTGCTGCTGCAACAAATTACCACAAATTGAGGAGCTTAAAACATTACACATTTGTTACTATGCACCTCTGGGGGTCAGAGTCTGAAATGGGTCTCATTGAGAGAAAATTAAGATGTCAGCAGGGCCATCTTCCTTTTGGGGGCTCTTGGGGAGAATCTGTTTTCTTGCCTTTTCCAGTTTCTAGAGGCTGCCTGCATTCCTTGGTTCATGACCCCCTTCCATCTTCAAAGCCAGAAGGATAGCACGAGATCTCTGCTTCCATGATCACATCTTGATTCTCACATCTCCCTGCCTCCCCCTTTTCCTTGTAAGGACCCTTGTAATTACATTGGGTCCACCCAGATAATCCAGGATAATCTTCACATCCCAAGACCCTTAACTTAATCACAAAGTTAATTAGCTTAATACAAAGTCCTTTTTGTCATGGAAGGTAACATACTCTGGTTCTGGGAATTTAGTGCATTATTCTGCCTCCTACAGTTTGTCCTCTGCATTCTATCACTTACCAACTGTGATCTTGGATGAGTTCATGTACCTCATGTTCAGTTTCCTTATCCTGAAATTGGGAATATAATAATTCCTACTCTGTAGGAGTGTTAAGAGAATTAAAAGAGTGATATTTCTCAAATGCTTATAATAGTGTCTGACATAGAGTAAATGCTATGGAAGTGTCTGCTAGCTAAAATGTATTAAATAAATGAAAATACTGCACACTCTTTAATTTACTATTCCTATTTTTTGTAACCTATTTCACAGAAACAAAAGCATCCATGTGTTAGGCCACATAAAGCTTTGTCCGATATTGACAAAAAAAAAAGTACAAACAGGAAATCACTAGAATGTCCATTAACAGGAGAATGACTGGATCATTTGTGGTACATGTGGAATTTAAGGGAGCTATAAAGAGAATACATTAGATCTACAATTATTAGACCTAGAGAAATGTCCTGAACAAAAGTTAGAGGAGGAAGTTACAAAGGCATTACTCATGATCTTTTATAGCATGATCTCTCTCTCTCTCTCTTTTTTTTTTAATGTTTTATTTATTTCTAGGAGAGAGAGAGAGAGAGAGAGAGAGACAGCGTGAGCAGGGGAGGGTCAGAGAGAGAGGGAGTCACAGACTGAAACAGGCTCCAGGCTCTGGGCTGGCAGTCAGCACAGAGCCCGACGCTCAGTCAGTTAAGCCTCAGACTCTAGATTTCTATTCAAGTCATGATCTCAGTTCATGAGTTCAGGCCCCTGATGGGCTCTGCACTGATAGCGTGAAGCCTGCTTAGGATTCTCTCGTCCTCCCTCTCTGACCCCTCCCCCCAGATGTCTACCTCAAAATAAATAAACTAATACTTTTTTTAAAGTTTATGTGTTTTTGAGAGAGCGAGCAAGCGTGTGTGCACGAGTGGGGGAGGGGCAGAGAAAGAGCGGTGACAGAATCCTCAAGCAGGCTCCGCGCCGTCAGTGCAGAGCCCGATTGTGGGCTCCATCTCACCAACCCCAAGATGATGACCTGAGCTGAAGTCAAGAGTCGGAGGCTCAATCTACTGAGCCATCCATGCACCCCGCGCCCTGTAAACCTTAAAAAGAAAGAGGATGAAACGTATCAAGTCCTTAAAATCCTGTAGGCAGTCTGGATATTTGTGTGGAGTGGTTTGAGCAGACAGTTGCAGAAGGATGCACCCAAATGCTCACCGTTGCCTTGGAAGCGGGGAAGGGAACTTCAGAAGTGGTGTGAAGAGATGATCTGTGTGCCTGTGCATTATTTTTTGTGTATCTGTGCCATGTTTCACGAATGGAAGCTAGCTGTTGTTAGTTAAGTAACTTTTTTACGTTCTAATGTTTAGTTGGTAGTTTGGAGACTGTCACCAAAACCACACACTGAATGGGGAAAAGCACGAACTTAGATTCAAACTTTTGTAATCTTTGAAGAGGAGTTTAATAACGACAAATGTACAGGGGTTAAAAGCAGGAGAGCCCTAATTAAGGCCGGCCTCATGTGTCTGCAGCATCTACTGCCGAGGCTGCTCCAAGCCGCTGTGCTGCTCGTGCGCGCTCCTGGACAGCGGCCACAGCGAGCTCAAGTGCGACATCAGCGCGGAGATCCAGCAGCGGCAGGAGGAGCTGGACGCCATGGCGCAGGCGCTGCAGGAGCAGGACAGCGCCTTCAGCGTGGCGCATGCGCAGATGCATGCGGCTGTCAGCCAGCTGGCCCGCATGCGCGCGGACACCGAGGAGCTGATCCACGCGCGCGTGCGCCAGGTAGTAACGCACGTGCTGGCCCAGGAGCAAACGCTCCTGGAGGGAGTGAACGCGCGGTACCAGCAAAGCTACGATGAGATCGCTGGCCAGCTGGGCCACCTGGAGGCGGTGCTGCAGCGCATCCGCGTGGGAGGTACGCTGGTGCAGAGGATGAAGCGCTACGCCTCTGACCAGGAGGTGCTGGACATGCACGGCTTCCTGCGACAGGCGCTCAGCCACCTGCGCCAGGAGGAGCCCCAGAACCTGCAAGCCGCCGTGCGCCTCGACGGCTTCGACGAATTCAAAGTGCGCTTGGAGGGACTCGTCACCCGTATCACTCAGGCGACAGGTGAGCACCCGAGCCACCCTTGTGGCCGGCCCTGTTGACCATTTAAGAACCTCGGTCTTGCTGTCGCTCGCTGGGGGAGACCGGGCAGAAAAGATCATCCACATGTGACTGAAAAGGAAACTGTGGGTTTGGGTTTGGGTTTGGTTTTGTTTTAAAGGCTGGGATTTGCTCACATTGTAGATTCCAAGGCACGGGATAAGGAGGAGAGGAGGCTGACGTGGGTCTGTAACCACCCCGGGGTTGGGGGTGGGGTCACGTTTTACTAATTTACAGGGCCTTGTGGATTAGCTCTTGTGACCCTCAGAGAAGTTACAAACTAGAAAGCTGAGAACCAGACACAGTATCATTTTAACCCCAGAGGGATAACCACTGCAAGCCTGTCTAGCAACAGAGAAGTCAACAGGAACTTGAGGTTAGAGCAGGAGGGGGCTGAGAAAACACCCCGGAGTGGTCAGGTGTTTACCCAGAACTGTGCTGTGGCCCAGTGGAGGCGATACTTTGTCTCCAGCCTGGCCTGCCCTCTGGACTGGCTGCCTACTTTGTGGGCCCTGCCTGGTTTTAGGCCCTTGGGAAGTGGAGAGCAGACCAATTTCTGTCCTCAAGAGGTGTCCAGTCCAACTGGGACACAGGGTGGAAACACGTCGCATAGCCGGAGAGTGAGGCAGTGCTTGGATCCGCAGTCCAGGTCCCGGGGTTGTAGCTGGTGTGTATCTGTGTGAGCTGGTGACGTCCTGGGGGCTTTCAGGAGACGCCAGGGGTGGGGGGGTGCCCCAAAGGGCCTCCAAGGTGAGAAAGCTTTAACAGCTCTTTGAGGAGATATCTAGGCTCAGATCTGAGCTCTGCTGTGAGGATGCCCTTACTGGGAAAGAGGTGGATGGCAACAGAATCTGAAGGCATCGGGGCAAGTGCCAGTGATAGGGGCTCCCTCATTCACTCCTGCCCTTGGAGCTGATGGCTGTGGACTCAGAAAAGTATAATCCTAGAGTGGGCGTGGACTTGTGCCTATACCTAGGCCGTGAATATTTCCATATACAGGAAATGACCCCGCAGGGTTGAAACAGCTTGCTTTGGGTATCATAACTGTGTAGTGGCGGGGAGAGGGGCTCTTTTATTCTCAAGCGTGAGACATTTAGATTAGATGTAATGAAAATCAAGCCATGGGTCATAAGTATCATGAAGCTCTCACTGTGTGCAGGGAAGTGAGCGAGCAGTAACAACTTGAGGATTGTTCACACTTGCCTTGGTGGTGGCCAAGAGACGGACAGAGATGCACCTGGGGTTTGCACTCTCTAATGCCACCCTCCCTCGCTTCTGTCTGGGTGCATGCTCAGTGCAATCAGGGAGTTCTCCTTCCAAATGACAGTCCCTCCATAGAGCTGCCCCAGTGCTATGAGGGGCCCGGAAGAATGAGTCTCTAGGAAAAGCAGCAGGGACATTTCCTCTGTCACCGTCCCATCTCAGGCGAAGATGCCTCCCACCAGACATGTCCCTGACCTGCCTGTGACCTTTTCTGTGTTCTCCAGATGCAGCTCTACCCAGGAGAGCGAGCCCAGAGGCTACCAGCACTCCCAGGGACGCTCCTGACATCGACTCGGTGAGATGGGTTGAGGTCTGAAGGGGAGGCGGTATGGTTCCACAGTTCAGAGGGATTCAGAGTTCTCCTGTGTCGGGAAGGAAACCAAGTCTTGTTGTCCCTGTATCTGCAGGCACTAGGGGGGGAGAGTGCTTGAGAGGGACAGCAAGTGGCTGGACTGGAGCTTTCGGTGGGAGGGAGTGAGGGAAGCGCAGGTGAACTGGCCGGTTCTGGGATCCTAAATGCCAAAGTAGCACCTGATGGACTTGAGAGGGGTGAGGAGGTAAGGGAGGGGGTCACCAGTACGTGGCCCTGACAGATGTGGTAGATGACCTCTCCCTTACCCTGTCCCCCATCCCAGATATGTGAGTGTTTTCCTGGAATCGACATGGAGGCTTTCCCCTCCTGTCTCCCCAACATGGTTCTTGGACAGGAGAATGGGGCCAGGAGGCAGACCTCAGTCCCAGCAGGTTGGGTTTCACTGGTATGATTTCAGGACCAGCATACATGCAGGAATCATAGCTTCTCAGGGTTGGGAGGTGCCCATACCCCCTCTAATGTTGGCAATCCTCCACAGCACCCTTGACCTGTGTCTGTCCACCCTCACACACCTCCCAAGGACAGGAATCTCACTCATGCCTGAGACAGCCACTCCCATCTCTGGACTGCCCATAGATTGCTTCCCTGGGTGAAAATGCAGCGGTACCCCTTTGGCTTGCCCTCTCAGGTGCTTGCATGCACGGCTCCTCTCTGGGATAAACTTCCTGAAATCCATTCCTGCACTAGGCATCTGGTCTCCTCCACATGCTGGTCATCCAGGTTTGTCTGTGTCTGTCTGTCAAGGACGTGGGCCCAGGATGGATCAGACGTCCATGGAAAGCAGGTCTTCTGGTAGTAGCGGTCAGGTGGTGAGCCCAGCTTTGCCATGCATGGCCGTTGGGATAGAGACATTGTTGTAGGTAGAGGCAATCTGGAGAGGCTTCCTGGAGGAGGCAGGATTTAGGATCTGACAGTTTTAGAGCTAGGAGAGCACATGGAGTCTAACCCCCTATTTTGCATAGGTTGAAGCTAAGGCCCAAAGAGAGGGTGACTTAACTCTGGGCCACGTGACACAGCAAGCTAGGGATAGGACTGGAAGCCAACTCTTAACTCCTTTGCATCTCCATATACGTAGCTTGAAAAGTAAAAAAAAAAAAAAAAAAAAAGACATTTTTATTTCGGGGGGGGGTGTTAAATAGTACAATCACATGGTCAGAAGTAAAAACGTGAATGATAAATCTGTCAACTGTACTTCAGTTTTCTTAATCAATTGATTTGTCCACTTCCCATTTGTACATTTCACCATATATAAATTGTACCTGGATCCCCAGGTACAATTTTTTCAAGTCTCCAGGTGATGATAATCTCTAGCTAAGTTGAGAACCAATGCTTGGAGGTGGGGCGGACACCCCAATAACTCCTCTCCACACCCTGTTCCTCCTTTGAGCTCTCCATTACTCAGCATCACAGAGATTTTTTATGCAAATTAAGACTGTATTTGTGCATATCTGATATTTTCACATAACACCCTACATATGGCAACTTACTGCCCGAATTCTGCACATTACAGTATCTGGTGCTTAAGAAAGAAAGTGACACATCATGTCTCCCTCCCATCTGGTCCCTGTCCTTCCACTTCTTATGCCCATACACCTGTCTTTATTTCTTGCATATCCTTCTGGAATTTCTTTACGTGATTATAAGCAAATATGATGACAGGTAGTTCCTTTTTCCATTCTGTCTGTTTTTGCACGAAGGTAGCATACTACCCTCTCTTCCTAGTATCATGTCCCAGGCTTTTTCATCCAACAAAGTATTCTGGAATTCTTACACTTTCAGTAGGTAGGGAGCTCTCTGATGTCTTTCTGTGTCTGCATGGTGGCCTAGCGAATGGATGTAGCATGTTTTATTTTGCCAGTTCCCTGTTGATGCATCTTTAGGTTGTTTTGGTATTATAATGCTAGGATGAATACTGTCCCCCAAAGAAACCCTATGAATAGTTGGGGAAAGTGCCATGGGGTCCACAGAGCTCAGCCATATTGCATGTGGTTAATGAACAGCGAGAGACCCTGTACTGTCTTGTATAATCCTAGGCATTTGCCTAGAGTTATAACACTTCAATGGAAAAACTAAAAAAATATAAAGCTATCAAACAACACATTGGGCATCCTGATTCTTTTTTTCTTTATATATATATATATTTTTTTTTTTTTTTAATTTATTTCTGAGAGAGAGAGACAGCATGAGAAGGGGAGGGTCAGAGAGAGAGGGAGACACAGAATCTGAAACAGGCTCCAGGCTCCAAGCTAGCTGTCAGCACAGAGCCCGACGCGGGGCTCAAACCCACGAACCGTGAGATCATGACCTGAGCCGAAGTCGGCCGCCCAACCAACTGAGCCACCCAGGCACCCCTGATTATTTTTTTCTTTAGTGAGCCTTCATGTGTGCCTCCTGCTTCATTAACACGTGAGGGAGGGCATCATGGGTAGGACAGAGGCAGAGAGAGGAACACAGGGACACTTTCGAGGAGTTCACAACCCACATGGAAGAGTCTTTCACATACCAGTGATTTGTAGATCCAGGCACGAAAGAGCCTTTTTAAACTTTTTTAAACTAAGTTTTTAATGATGGTAAAATACACGTACATTTCTTTCTTTTAACTATAATTTTTTTTTTATTGTGGGCAAATTCATCTAGGAAAACTCCCTGTACTAACCATTTCAGAGCATACAGTTCAGGGACATTTAGCACACTCCCAACCCTGTACAGCCACCGCCCCCCTCTAGTTCCCAATATTCCCATTAACTTGAAAGGAAACCTCATCCCCAGGACGCGGCCACTCCCCATCTGCCCCGCCCCCACCCCCACTCCAGCTTCCGGTCTGCTTTCTGTCTCTATGCGCTCAGCTCTTCCGGAGATTTCACACAAACGGAGCCACACAACATGTATCCCTCTGTGGCTGGCTTCTTTTCACTTTGTGTGACATGTTCAAAGTTCATCCGTGTTGCACGTCCAGAACTTCATACCTTTTTATAGCTGAGTAATATTCCACTGTACGGCTGTCAGATATTTGGGCTGTTTAGACATTTGGCTGGTGTCTCAGAGGCTGATGGGCCCATTTTGCTGTTGTGAATAGTGCTGCTGTAAACATTTGTGTGTAGGTTTCTGTTCAAACATCTGTTTTCAGTCCCTTGGACCTATGCCTAGGAGTAGAGTTGTTGGATCATAGGGGAATTCTGTGTTTAACTTGTTGAAGAACTGCCCCAAGTCCATCATGGGGTGGGTTTCTGTACAGTTAGCGCTATGCCTGGCTCAGAGTAGCAATAAAAATGGATTTTACCATCATTCTCAGCAGTGGCGCATATGAAGTGCTGGGTGCTCTTCTGAGCATTTTACTGGTGGTAACACATTTCATCCGCGGTGTCCTGTGAGACAGAGATTAATATTATTCCCATTTTACAGAGGGGGACTGAGGCCTGGGGAGTTTTGAGGGATTTGGACAAAGCGTGTAATTCCTGTTCTGACCCAGGGGAAGTTAAGGCCCAGTGAGGGTCTCAGGGAGGTTCCTTGGAAGGGTTTCAGCTCAGTGGTGGAAGGGGGTCTCCGCTGTTACAACCGTGCGGCTGTAGAACCATTGCTTCCATCAGGAGTGCGCGCTTTGTTCCTGGAGCTAGCTGTGGCACGAGCCTTAAGGCCTGGTTGGGCCCGTGTGACCTCAGAAATCACCTTATGGCTCTGTCAGGATGCCCAGGAATGGAAGGGCCCCTGGATGCCAGCACCTCAGGGTCAAAAGGAGGTGAAGTCAAAAAAAAAAATAATAATAATAAATTTTAAAAAAATTAAAAAAAAAGGGCGCCTGGGTGGCTTAGTCGGTTAAGCGTCCGACTTTCGCTTAGGTCATGATCTCGCGGTTCGTGGGTTCAGGCCACGCGTCGGGCTCTGTGCTGACTGCCAGCTCAGAGCCTGGAGCCTGTTTCAGTCTGTGACTCCCTCTCTCTGTGACCCTCCCCTGCTCACGCTGTCTCTCTCTCTCCTAGAAATAAAAAAAAATTAAAAAAAATAAATCAAAAGGAGGTGAAGTCATGGAGGGTATGAGGAGGACTCCTGGCCCCCAGTAGGCTCTGGGCTTTCGACCGGACAGCCTGCCCCTGTGGCTGGCCGAGGCCCTGGGGATCAGGCTGACCGCAGGCCCAGGGTCTCAGCCCTGGGCCTGCCACCCGCTCATTTCTGTTTCTCTCACTTCTGGACATTGCAGCCAGAGGAGATGCCGAGGGCGCAGGCGCAGGCCCCAGGCCCGGCTGAGACCCAAATGGGGGCTGTGGTGCAGTCGGTGCCCGGGGTACACCCAGTGCCCGTACATGCCTACTCTATCAAAGATCCCTCGTGCAGAGAGGTAAGGTTCTCCCCGCCCTGCCCTCTGCACCTGGAGGCCCAGATCCCAGCAGACAGTCAGTGGGTGTGGGAGGAGAATCCCGGCCTTAATCAGCTCCTACTCTGTTTCCCCGTTGCTTCCTGGCTGCCCCGCCAGGAAGCCCCCCTGTAAGTATGAGCCATTCCAGAGCAGGCAGAGGCCAGTGGGGGCAGTGGTCAGCAGACAGCCAGTGTACATGGCAGCCCAGGGGGCTTCCCATGAAGAGAGAGAGACATGATCTGCATGGTAGAGAGCAGAGGGAACAGTAGCAGCAAAGGGGGAGGGCCACAGGCCCCTGCCACCCAGGTCCGTGTCTCTGCCCGCCACCCCAGCACCCCTGAAGGCTGCTCACCTGGCCTTGTGACTCCCCACCGCACAGGACATCTGCAACCCAGTCACTTCCCAGAAGAGGAAGTCCTGCCAGACTGAGTGCCCCAGGAAGGTCATCAAGATGGAGTCTGAGGAGGAGAAGGAGATACGGGTGGCCCAGAGCTCCCCTGAGCAACCCAGGCCCAGCACCTCCAAGGCAGTGTCGCCACCCCACCTGGACGGGCCCTCCAGCCCTCAAAGCCCCATCAGCGGGAAGGAGGTCTTCCTGCCCAACAGCAACCATGCGACCAACGAGCCTGGGGAGGCAGGTAAGCAAGTGGGCGGGCAGCAGGGGCTGAGGCCTCCGTGCTGTCCTCCAGGGGCTGGGGGCGGGGAGGCCTCTCCTCCATCCTCAACCCCCCCAGAGAGCCCAAAGCCAGTGGCATCCCCTATGTGTCCTGCTCTCGGCTGCCCCCAAATGGGGCAGGGAAAGCCCATGGTTTGCCCGGGGGGTATGAATGGATACAGTTTACCGTGTGATTTGCTGGGATTCCAGTGTAGGGAGCGTAACGGGGTAAAGCCCCCCGTTCCAGAGCCCCTTCTCCAAACACAGCCATCCAGTGCCCAGCACTGTGCCTCTGCTCAAGGTCGGTCTCCCCAGGAAGTGTCAGTTGGCGGGTGCCTGGCACATTCCCAGAGAGACGTTGGGTAAAGTCCACGCCCATCACTTCCCAAGCCTATCTGCAAAGGCCACGCCCATCACTTCCCAAGCCTGTCTGCAAAGGCCACCTGGCTATCCTAGATAGCTTTTATGGACATCACCAGACAGGGAGCTCTTGGGCATGAGTTGAGGCCAACTGATAGAATTCTGGAATGGTCAAAACAGTTCTTCTTAGATCTGCTTCACCCAGAGGCCCCCTTTGTTTTCATTCTAGGTCTCAGACCGAGCCCCGATCCTGCTTGCACACTGAGCCCTGACCGACATTCCTTGCTCACAATGCTATTGGTAATCAAAAGGTTTTGATTAACCAAACATAAAGTAGCTTTTAATTCAAGCATCACAGCTCATGAGACAGAATTGGAACAAACCAATATGCAGGGCCAATCGCTGAATTAAGTACTCACATACAGGACACTGTGACAGTGATGGAAAGTCCCTTTGAATAAATAGATCCTTACCAGCCCACTTGGTGAATGTTCACATCCCCTGCTGCAGGGTACACATCACCCACCCCATCCACTGGCTCACAGGGATTCTCACAGAGAGCACCCCACTTAGCGGGCCTCCCGGCAGGGCCTGATTCTACCTCTTTTTTTTTTTTTTTAAATTTTATTTATTTATTTCTAGGAAAGAGAGAGAGACAGCGTGAGCAGGGGAGGGTCAGAGATAGAGGGAGTCACAGACTGAAACAGGCTCCAGGCTCTGAGCTGGCAGTCAGCACAGAGCCCGACGCGGGGCTCGNCACGTTTAGAAGTAGTGCACACTCCCAGCTTTCCAAGTGGATCACAGGGTTTACACCCTGAGAGTTCTGACTGCCCCACAGCCTACTTCATATTTACAATAGCCAGTCCCTTTTCTTTGATTTCTTTGTTTTTTTTAAATTTTTTTTAATGTTTTATTTATTTCTAGGAGAGAGAGAGAGAGAGAGAGAGACAGCGTGAGCAGGGGAGGGTCAGAGATAGAGGGAGTCACAGACTGAAACAGGCTCCAGGCTCTGAGCTGGCAGTCAGCACAGAGCCCGACGCGGGGCTCGAACCCACGAACCGCGAGATCATGACCCAAGCGAAAGTCGGACGCTTAACCGACTAAGCCACCCAGGCGCCCCTGATTCTACCTCTTTTGCCCTGTTTCAGAGGAACGCGTCGTGGTAATCAGCAGCTCGGAAGACTCAGATGCTGAAAACTCGGTGAGTGGTCCAGAAGTTCTGCCCCGGACTCCTGCCTCCCCCCATTCTAGGTCCCAGGAGACCCAGCCGCAGCAGGTGACTCTTAGACTTGCCCTGCGCCTGGGGAGTTTTCCAGCGAGGCAGTGAGTTCTGAGCTGTCCTGAGGACAGTCTCCAGATGCCAGCTGCGAGCCTGGACCAGCCCAGCCCTCCCTCCATGCCAGGGCAGGAGCCTTCAGTAACCATATGTACTCTTCTGAAATGCTGAGAGATTGCTCCCTTCCAGAGCCCTCTTTTCTGGACTAGCCAATGCCTTTGTCTGGAGCTTCCTTACGTGTTCTCTGGCATCTAAGTCCTCAATGAGGAGAGTGGGCAAGAACCTATTCCCCAGTTAATCGCAGCCAGTGAGGGTCAGTGCAGGGGCGTGAGGGCGTGGGCAGCACCAAACAGGGCCCCGACAGGCAAGCTTTCACTCCATAAGAGAGAATTTTAAAAGCATCCCAGAGTGGAACAAGTATCTTCATGGATTGCACCCTTCTGTCCCTGGAGGTTGGTTAACAGAGGCGGGGAACAGGGGCTCTGGACAGAGGGTAAGGTCGGAATGGGTGCCCCTGAGGTCCCTTCCGGCCCTCAGGCTGAGGTTCTGTATTGGAAAGTGCGTGGAGCCCATGGAGACCGCTGCACCACACTCCTCGCCAGCCCACCCCCTGCCAAGAGCACCAGGAGCTTACCAGCCCTCCCGGGCCCCCCGCCTGCCCAGTGATGCATACCGCCCCCTGGCTTGGTCTCCCCAACATCCCGCCGAACAAGCTGCAGTCTCTGAGGGCGATTCTCACAGCCAGCCTGACAGTCACCGGGAGGACACTGCTGTTCACTGCCACCGCGGGACCAGCTTCCTGTCGCGTAGAGCACAGAGAATCCCCCGTCTTCACACCGCCATCCGCTTGCCCTTCAAAGTGTGTTTTAACCCCACATGGACACATCCTACCCCCGCAGTCCAGGCCACCACCCCTGCTGCCACAGGGCCTCCCAGCCACCCTACCGATCCCCAAGAGAGTCCCTACCACCTCCAGAGGGCCACCAGTCAATGCCGCTGGGCCCGGGGAGCAGCGCGCTCCCGCAGCCGCTCCCTCCGGGGCTCCCCCCACATAGCCCAGTTGCTCAACAACATCTTTGGCCTTCCTCTCTCTGTGCCTTCCCGGCTTGACACCTCTCTCAGGAAGGGTGGGGGGAGGCAGAGCGCCCCAGACTCTTAGGACAGGATCTCCCCCCGGGAATTCTGATACAGCCCCTGTGGAGAACCCCCTAGTCCAGGTCCCTCTGGAGGTGCCTCCAATTACATTCCCAACCCCCTGCCAGCCCGGCCCCCCTCCAACAGGCCTCTGAGAGCCCCAGCACCTCCCTCTTCTAGAGCTGGTGGCCACTGGCTCACTTGGCTCCTGCACCCCCCTACCCGGCCTGGCCCATTCGCTGAAGGCCCTGCGCACAGTAGGCACTCCATGCATCGTGGTCAAGGAGCGGACCAGGGAAGGAGTGGCTGCGTGGACCCAGCGGGGAGACGTAAGCCCTCTTCACCTGAAAGGGTATGGCTGAGTTTCAGGCCGCCCGCTCTTCACATCTCCTGGCCTCTTTGCCCCAAGATAGGAAGCTTTTGTCACCCTTTGCACCCCCACTGCCCCATCCCGCCACCCTGAGGCTTTCTGCTGGGCCTCTGTCAGGACCTAAGCCCACAAGGGCAGGGACTGTGTCAATCCCAGGACCTAGCAGATACAGCTGCTCAATAAATATTTGTTGAAAGATTATCCTGGCAACCCCTTCTTCCATGACCATCGTTTTCCCTGCTGGACTCAGCCCTTCTCCGCAGGCAGCTTTGTGTCCTCCCTGCACGGAAACTTGGTTCTCCGGTGGGGTTACCGAGTCCCTTCTTCCCAACACCCTGTGAGCATCAGAGGGGGGCGGGCGGTGGGTCACGGTCTTCTGTGCCTCCTGGACTGTGTCCATCACACCATCTAGTCAGGTTCTTTGTGCCTTTCTTGAGTTGAATCCTACTTTCCCCAGATCAGTTTCCCGCCTGCCTGCCTCCCCCCGCATAGGGGAGACCCCAGCATCTGCCTCCCGGGTGTCGTCTCTTCACCTGGGTCCAGCCTTCTTTCTGGGTGACTTCAACATCCAGGTCCCTGGCCTCCCTGGGGTCTTCTCCCCACTCCACTGCAGCCACCAGCCCCACGGCCACCCCCTGGGCCTCACCATACTGACAGCTGGCCCACAGGGACTCTGGCCATAGCTTCCTGTCCCTTGAGCTCTCTGGTACTTCGAGGACCCCCACCCTCCCCATCCCAGCTCCTGTAGCTCCAGCTGCTCCTCCTCACCCTCCTCTCAGGTCTCTGTTACTTTCCACATTGTTCTGGCTACGGCCCCTCTTTTTGGTCTCAGCTGTGCCCATGGCCTCAGTTAGTGCCACAGGCTGTTGGTGCCCAGTGCCAACTCCTGCTGCCAGACCAGGATAGCCAGTGGCCCTCCGACGTCTCCGCTCAGGTGCCCCGTAGATAACTCGTCTCTTCCTCTCTTCTCTGTAAGTCACACCATCTGTCTGGCTACACCGGCCGGGGCCCCAGAACCCCCCTGGATGCCCTTCTTTTGATTGTTCCTCACTGCCAGTCAGTTTTTCAGTCTTACCTTTCCCTGTTCTAAATTCCTCTGAAATCTGGGCATTTCTTTCCATCCCCTAAGCCTCATCAAACAAAATTGATCCCAAGTGGGGGTAGAAGCCTGGGGAGGAAAGCTCCAGAAAGGATCGGAATGCCAGTAGTCCCACCGGACTTTAGGACTTCACAAGAATTGGGTGCAGGGACTGAAACCAGCACTCCTGAAAGGGGCGCGGGGTATCAGTGTGACCCTCAGCTGTCATCACAGAGTTGCCAGTTAAGTGTGAGGTTAAGTGTGAGGCTGTTCAAGGAAGGAGGGAGAAGTGCCTGAAGGCGGTGAAGAGTTAAAACGATTAGAAGCACAGCTGCTCACCTGCGGAGACCAGGTCCAGTGTGGGGGAGGGGCAGAGGACCACCACTATTGTGTTAGTATTCTTAAGACACACATTTATTTTTTAAAGTTTATTTATTCGGAGAGAGAGAGAGAGCACAAGCAGGTGAGGGGCAGAGAAGGGCAGACAGAATCCCAAGCAGGCTCCCCACTGTCAGCGCAGAGCCCGATGCGGGGCTGGACCTCACGTACCGTGAAATCACCACCTGAGCCGGGATCAAGAGTCAGATGCCTAACCAACTGAGCCACCCAGGTGCCTCCAGACACACATTATTAAAATTAACCATTATGTGTCCCAAACTTTAAAAAATGTCTCTTTAAAAAGAAGGCAAACTCGGTCTCCTTTGACACACTTCTCACCCACCTCCTACGCCCCCTTCCAGACTCCCAGCGCTCCCAGAGTCCCCGCAGGGACCTGGGTGGGGGGCAGGGTGACATCCGCAAGGTCCTCCAGACTCCCACATACCCATGTCCGCTCCCCTCCGTGGCCTTTCTCCCACCTTGCACGTGTGGAAGTTGGCCTTTGAAAAGAGCGCATTTTCCAAGTATGCCAGGTGTGTAGGTGACCCTGCCCCAGGCCGCTGCTGGAGTCTAGCTGGACACGCCTGGGGGCTCTGGTGCAGGCCTGGCAAGGTGGGCAAGGCTCCGGGAGAGGCGGTTGGTGCGGGAAGAGCGATCTGTAAGAGCCCCTGCCCCTGCTGGAAGCGCCAGGGGGGGCGGCTGTTGGGTGGAGGGGCAAGACCTGGGCCTGATGGTGGAGGCCTGGGGTGAGGACTACCCTTGAAAATGAGGAAGGGTCAGCAGTGCCTCTGCCCTAGGCCCTGTGTTAGAGTCCAAGGCAGAAACAGATAGATGCTCTCACCTACTCTTACAACAGATGTCTCGCCCCAGTGTCCGGCAGTAGCAGGACCAAGAGGAAGCAGGAGAGGACAGTCCCTGGCTGCGGTGGCAGTGGTGACCAGCAGTAGAAGGAGGGGCCTGTGGGGAACAGCCGATCCAGGGGAGGGGCCGGGATGCTGGTGAGTGTGTGTAATGGCAAAAGCAGATGAGAGCCCCGTCCCCTGAGGGGCTGGCGCAGGAGGGCAGCGGGGGCCATAAGCTAGCCAACAGGATGGTCCAGTTCACAGACACACGCGAGGTATCTTGGGGCTTCCGGACTTTTCCGGGGCTGGGATTTTGTGTCTGCAACACAGAGCAATCTGCATGTGTTGCCAAACCGATCCCAGCTGTTGTTGAAGCGTGGGTGCTCAGGAAGTCCCTCAGGAACCTGGGGACTCTTGATAAGGATTAACATTGGACACTGTATAGACAACTTCAGGCAACCAGATGCCAAATATCAGAGTTTGGCTCCTGAGTGGTTGGCGACCAACCATGGGGTGAATCAGTAGGACGGGAGTTCTCTACCCTCACTGCACACTGCAATCTTACGGGGGCTGGTTACCAACGACAGATTCCTGGGTGCCACCTCCCCCACCCAGAGATTGTAATTGAACTGGTCTGGGGGTACAACCTGGGCATCTGGGACATTTTGAAGTCACTAATGCACAGCCAAAAAGAGAACCACCAAATGGGGGGATTCAGTTGTATATCTGTCATCTGTGTGTATATCAACCTTGAATGGGGGTGGCCTGTACATACTGGGATATGATCCGGCAGGGGTGCAGTGGTGCTGGATCTTCCCAGAAAGACCTAGACTTGTGGAAGGTGATTAAAATGTCAAGCCAGCCATATGAGTGTGCTTGGTATGGCCGTTCGGCCTGCTGTGTGGAGTGTGGAGGTAGAATGCCCTTGCCCTGCTAAGTGGATCTGTGTTGAAGACAAGTGAACTATAGCTCACAAACCAGACAGCACGTGGATCCTAGTTACACCTGGATCCTGAGAAACTCCCAGGTCTCCTGTGGCTCAGTCTGAGCACACTTTTGCAGTCAAAGAAGTCCATTAACCAAGTATAATAAAGAAATGAATCCTGGGGCACCTGGGTGGCTCAGTCGGTTGGGTGTCCAACTTCGGCTCAGGTCATGATCTCACAGTTCGTGAGTTCAAGCCCCTCATCAGGCTCTGTGCTGACAGCTCAGAGCCTGGAGCCTGCTTCAGATTCTGTCTCTCCCTCTCTCTCTGCCCCTCGCCCACTCATGCTCTGTCTCTCTCTCTCTCTCTCTCTCCTTCAAAAATAAATAAACATTTAAAAAAAGAAAAATGAATCCTATTATTTACTTGCATCTTTCAAAGACTATTAAAGTGGGTTTGACTCCTCCAGCTCTTAGCAGCACATCTTAAATTCCTCTTCATCTTTTCTTTGGCTCCCATCACAGCCACTCCCTACTTCCTTGGAGCTTTCTCCACTATTCGCTTTCCGGGCCGAGCACATGGGCTCCAGTCTTCCCCACTCCATTGCCTTCTGCCACCGTTCCTTTTCCCTTCCCAGCACATCTCAAGCCTTTTCCAGTAAAAGGCCCTTGCCTGGCTCAGGCCCGGGTCTCTGTGACTATCAGTCTACACTCCCTGCCCACACACTCAATTACCCTGAGTGTGGATGAAAGCCCAGCGGCGGTGCTATGGGCATTGGAATGTAGGACTTCCCTTAGTGAGCAGGGGACAGAAAGGCTTCCTGCCCCAGAGCCTCTTGGGCTGATTGCCCTTTTGCTAACCCTGGGTCTTGAGAAAAGTCCTTTCTAAGCATGCGGGCACTTCCTAGCCACGTTGCTGGGATGTAAGGCAGGGAGGGGGAATAAAGTGGACAGCTGGCTGGAGTTTAGTGGAAGGCATGCTGGCGAGATCACCTCCACACTCTAGCCCCAAGGGTGAGGAGGACTCGGAAAGGAAGAGGAGTCAGAGCTGGAAGCTTCAGCCTTCTCCCCATTGACAAGCTCAGCAGAAAGGGGGTGTCCTTTTATTAAGGAAGCCACCAAGTTCTTCGTAAGTTCAGGACAAAAGACACCACTATAAGAGGGGAAAATGACACCAGTGCAATGGGAGGCCCTAAAAATGAGATTCTGATGGCCATCATCAATGACCCTGGTTGGGGCGCCTGGGTGGCTCAGTTGGTTGAGCGACTGACTCTTGATTTTGGCTCAGGTCGTGACCTCACAGTTGCGGGATTGAGCTCCACGTTGAACTGAGCGTGAAGCCTTCTTGGGATTCTCTCTCTCCTTCTCTCTCTGCCCCTCCCCCCACTCACGTTCTCTGTCTCTCTCAAAATAAGTAAATAAACTTTTAAAAAACATAAACGACCCTGGCATGGAGATGGAGCTAGCCCAAAGACGCAGCTGTGCTGCTCTCCAGGAGCTCAAGTCTTGGAAGAAGATATCCGAAGAGGTGACCAAGGCTCTAAGGCCTGAGAAGACATCCAGAAGGAAGGAGACGGGGGGAAGAACTCAGGGCCACTGCATGGGCTCTTACAGTCATCCTGGGAGCAAAAGTGGAAGGAAGAAGAGACAGCTCAGTGTGCCATGTCGGAGGTGACAGAGAGCTCTGGGCCAAAGGACAGCTCTTCAGTCCGGGGGAGGATGCAGCAAGGAGAGCCCAGCTCTTTCCACCACCCTAAGTGCAAGGGCAAGGTCTAGAAGGTTGGTGATAAACACCAGCTGGATTTTCCCTCGGGGAAAGAAGGTGGAGTCTCTGGCCCACCAGCTAGCAACTTCAAGGAAGAGCCCTATAGAAGGCTTCCTCACAGGGAGGAAAGGGAGCCGGGACAGTGAGACAGAAGACTCAGAGCAAGACTTGCAAAGTAAACCTTTGATGGGTGGCCGGATCAAGGATACAGATGTGCAAGGCATTTGACAAAGACGTGTTAGGGCCTTGTGTCCAGAGTCTCCGAACCCCAGGCTTCTCTAAGCAAGACCAGCTCTGGATGGATTCCTAGTGAATGTCCCTAGTGATGGGGAGGAAGTTGGTGAGCCTGGGAAACAAATAAGGTGAAAATTGGCCACTCCTAGGAAAAGCCAGCACATTTTACCTGTCATTAGTAAGGACTTTGCTCTTGGCTGAAGTTTTGTTAAAATGTTTCACCTGGTGAATAAAAGGGCCCATGCTTCTTACCTCGCGGGCCAGGGACATTAGCCAGAGGCCAGCGTTTGTGCATGGAGGCTTCAGATCGCCCTAGGTGAGGCGGTGTGTGAGTAAGAAAGACCCGAGGGCTGGTCTCTGTCCCAGCAGTACCCCCAGCGGGCCCTGTGACATTGGCTGTGTCCTTTCCTCCTGGTCTCTGGCTCACGTCCACAGGTGGCATTCACAGGAAGTTCTGAGCAGGCCTCCGGGGACAATGTCTTGGTTTGGCAGCTTTGCAGATGGCCACCCTCTGTAGCCACAGCCCCTTGGGGCTCACAGAGCCAGAGCCCTTCTCTTACCCCTGAGGCCTTTCAAACTCGTTGCCTTGATGTTGGTGAGAATGGGGCCTTGGGTGCCCAGGCTAGAGGAGCCCTGGGCCTGAGACTTCCCTAAGCAGCCCCTCCTGGATGCTAAATGACAGAGAGCCTCCAGGCTTCGTGTGTCCACCTAGATGTGGCATTCCTGAGGCGAGCGGCCCCCCCTCCCCCTTTGTGTAGGACACTGGGGCCTCAGCTGGCTATGGGGACAAGAAGAGCCAGGCTCCTGGCCCCCTTCCAGTGAAACCTAGAGTTTGAGGTGAGACTCCTTCCTCCTGCCCCAAGAAGTGTTTCTTCTGAGCCTGTTCAGAGAGAAGGGAGCAGCAGATCCCTCCCGCCCTACCCACCACGGCATTGACCCCTTCTCTGAGCTTCCATACCCAGCTCTATGCAACCCATGTGCACACTCACTCACACATGCTCACATTCCCACATCCCTGTCAACACAGGTTCGTAAATTCACACCTGATGTGCGCACACACATCTGACATTTGCATTCATTCCCATGCTCGTGCTTTCACACACTCTCATCTGCATGACCTCAGCCTTTCACCCCACTCATGAATGTGTGGTTCACACCCAGCCCTCACACATGCACACGCACATGGACATCCATTCATACACACGCATCCTTCTGCACACACACTCATTCAGACCTACACCTTCCCCTCCTCTGCCCTCCCACACGTGTGGGCGGATGCACCTGGCCGCACCAGCGTGCTCGCGTTCCCACGTTCACACCACACGTGCGCATGCACCTGCCCATGGGCACGTGCTCACCTTGCCAACACGCCCCCTCTCGCCCTCTGGCCCCCTGACCTGTTGGTTTCTCTGTGTTGCAGTCCTCCCGAGAGCTGGACGACAGCAGCAGCGAGTCCAGTGACCTCCAGCTGGAGGGCCCCAGCTCCTTGAGGGTCCTGGATGAGAGCCTGGCCGACCCCCAAGCAGAAGACAGGCCCCTGGTTTTCTTTGACCTCAAGATTGACAGTGAAAGTGGGTTCTCCAGCAGTCACCCCTGCCCCTTTCTAGCTTAGTCCCTGAGCCCCTGAAGTAAGTGCAGGCAGAGCTATGTTCTGGGCCCAGGAGAGCCCAGAGCTCTGGCCAATGGCTGCATCCAGAGAGCAGACAGAGCACGCCTCTCCCCTGGGACTCCAGGGATACCGCTCCGTTGTCTGAATAAGGACGCGGGCCGTAACCGGGGCCTGAAAGCAGGCAGGTGCTTCCCTGAGCTCACCTCTGACCAGCGCTTCTCTTAGAGAGCCTTGGTGACACACTTCAAAACACAGATGTGGGAAGTCACTGCCAGGAGGCCAGCAATGCAAGCAAGACCATAACCTGCGGCTACAGAGTTCTGAGTACAGAGCCCATTCCCCAGGGAGGCCAACAGAGCCAAGGTCATGGAGAGAGGTGACCCCTTCTCCCAGAAGCCCCTCAACTCTCCATGGTGCTTCCCGTGGCCCTGTAATGCCCTTCCCTGAACCAGCAGCCCCCGGCCTGCCTTGTGGCACATGGGGCCAGCCGGGCCAGACAGAAGTAGTGGGTTCCACAAGGACAGGGAAGTCTTTTGCAGACCTCACAGGGCAGCTGTGAGCCACGTTCCGAGTGAAGTGGTTTGGGCAGGTGTGCCACCTGACACTGGGTGCTGCCTGGGCTGGGAGTCTTGATTCAGTGACCGGGGGATTGGAGGCTGGGGCAGGGAGGCGAGGATGCAGCAGAAACAATGAGGGGTCCCGAGGGCAGGTGGGTAAGGCCAGCAGAAGAAGGGCAGGAGGGACCTGGATCTAAACTGTTTGGCAAACTCTAGGGCAGGGGAGGGGGGGAGCTGGACTCCCAGCAGGCGAGTAGGTGGTGTTTGGAAAGCAGCCCACCCACCCCCACTCTGACCCCTGTCCCCTTTAGAGCCAGTGTAGAGCTGCATTTGGAGGCTGATGCCTCCAAGGCAAGGTGGGGTCTCTATGTGGTGGGACAGCACCATTCCTGCCCTGTGCCCCCCGCCCCGCCCCTGGGGCCTCACCCTGCCCTTCTCTCCTGCCCAGCCCAGAAGATTAGCCAGCTGGCAGCCGTGAACCGGGAGAGTGAGTTCCGCGTGCTCATCCAGCCCGAAGCCTTCTTCAGCATCTACTCCAAGGCCGTCTCCCTGGAGGTGGGGCTGCAGCACTTCCTCAGCTTCCTGGGCTCCATGCGCCGCCCCATCTTGGCCTGCTATAAGCTGTGGGGGCCCGGCCTCCCCAACTTCTTCCAGGCCCTGGAGGACATGAATAGGCTGTGGGAGTTTCAGGAGGTAATCTCCGGCTTCCTGGCCGCTCTGCCCCTCCTCCGGCAGCGCGTGCCCCGGGCCAGCAGCTTCAAACTCAAGAGTCTGGCCAAGACCTACCTGGCGAGAAACATGAGCGAACGCAGCGCCCTGGCCGCCGTGCTGGCCATGCGAGATCTGTGCCGCCTCCTCGAGGTCTCCCCGGGCCCCCAGCTGGCCCAGCACGTCTACTCCTTCAGCAACCTGCAGTGCTTTGCGTCCCTGCAGCCCCTGGTGCGGGCGGCCGCCCTGCCCCGGGCCGAAGCCCGCCTCCTGGCCCTCCACAATGTGAGCTTCACCGAGCTGCTGGCCGCGCACCGCCATGACCCGGAGCGGGGCTTGAAGAAGTACAGCCGCTACCTGGGCCTGCAGACCACCTCAGCGTCCCCCGCGCAGCGCACTGCCAACCTGCAGGCCCTGAGCACCTACTTCAAAGGCCTGTCGTCCGAGGAGCCCGTCTCGGCACGGGCAGAAGGCATCGTTGGCCTCAGCTTGACAGAAAAGGCGTCCCAGCAGAGCTGAGAGGAGGCAAGGACTGGCTTGGAATCTCAGCGAGCCGAGAGCCATGAGGTCCCTGCGCCAGGCCCCACTCATCACAGTGTTTCCCGACCCCGGTCCCTAGTATGCAGCTGTCATTTGGTTCAGGATCCATTGTCTCAGACCAAACTGGAGCCCCACAGAGAAGGGTCCAAGTCCGAGTCCTAACCCCCCAGGGCCACCAGATTCCCATTCAGGCTTTGGGAGCACCAATGGAGTGGTTGCTTCACCAGACACCTGGCCCCTCTCCTCCAGGACCCAAAACCAGGGAGGTTTTGAGTAAAGAAAGCCTGGGCTCTGGGCTGAGTGGCCCCCAGCCACCCATCTTGCCACTTCCATGAGTGTCCCCGCAGCTCCTCCCTAACCCCAGCCACTGCCCTGGGGGACCTGCTGACAGCCCCCGTGGACACTGCCTGCAACACCCCACGGGCACCCAAAGTGCCTTTCAAACCAAACCACCGTCCAGAGTTTGGCTTCTCCCACCACCTGCCTTTCTGAAGGCCAGCTCCCTTTTCACATCTCCTTTGGGGATAAAAATGCATTCTCATCCCCACAGGGCCTCGAATCTGCAGAGACAGAATCTGCTGCCCTGTATCTGTTCCACCTTCTAGAGTCTGACCCTTCCAAGCTTGCTTCTTTCCTTCTGGCCACACAGATGCCACTCCTTTAGTCAGGCTTGGCTCTTTGGTCCTCAGGCCATCAGCCCCTCTCAGCATGGCTTTTGCTTTCACTGCACCGCCCCCCTCAGCCCCATTAGGAATGCCTGCTAGCACCGGGTGCCCGCCACATACACCAGGACCCCGCAGTGTTGGCATCCCCTGAGACCCTCCACCCCAGGCCTCTGGGATCAGCGTCTCTGAGAGGTGGGCCCAGCAAGCTGTTTTAGCATGTTCTCTGATTCTGATGCCCGCTCTGATAGGCCGCTTCCTGAAAGAGCAGCAGTGTGGAGCAGCAGAGAAAGTCCTGGCCCCAACTGTGCACGTTGACAGGGTCCTAGGAAAAGACCCCTTCCTGAGCCCCCGTGTCCCCACTGGGCCAATTGGCCCAGATGGGCTCAGAGGTCCCATCCAGTTCCGCCATTTTGGGGCTTTAGCCACCAAGCCTGATGAGCATAGTTTTCAACTTAAACCCCAGCTCTCAGCCCTAACCTAGGCTAAGGTCCTCAATCTGTGGTCACATGAGAGGTCAGCAGCAGGACACAGCAAGCTCAGGGCCTTCCCTCTGACTAGCAGAGCCACTGTCCTCTCCATAACCTCTCCCTTCCCCCTTCCTTGGCTCCTGCCAAGGGCCTCCAGCCCCTATTGCCTGAGCTTTCACAGGAGTGAAGTCTGTGTGCCCGCACCTCAGCCCCCATCCAATGGGTGCACTGGAGATCCACCAAGGGAGTACATGGGGACCGGCTACCACAGTGGGAGTGTCAGCTCTAACGTGAACTCTGACACGTTTAAAATAGCATTCGCGTTTAAAGCAAGTGCCCGCTCAAAAGCTCCTGTAGGAACAGGCTGATGGGTGAAGGGAGGAGCAGGCTGGGGCTCCTGCCTGGCTGTGATGACCGCCTTGGCAATTGCAAGGCAGCACTTGGGCTCCTCTTCCCTCAGCTTCGCCCTGAACTCGGCAGTGCCCACTGGTTTCCAGCCCTCCGTGCTTGCTTTCTGCAGATGTAGTCCACCGCAGGTTTTATAACAAAAGGCTCTTCTGCCCTCTTTCCATTTATGTAGCCTTTAATAAAGATGTGAATGCTCAAAGTCTGATGCACCAACCAAACTCTGCTCAGCCCACCTGGGAGCCACTGAGCAGCCTCTGGCCTGGGGAGGAGGGGGGTGCTCCTGAACGTGGGGGAGCTGCACTTTGTGAAGTCCTTTCAGGACTTAGCAGAGCTGAGAGTCCCTTGTTGCTCAGTGCCGAGAGCCTCACAGATGTGAGCTCCCCCCATTCCAAAGGAGGAAACCCAGGGTGGGCCCATCAGAGATCATCTCCCAAAAGGAGAGGCACATGGCGGGAAAGAGGCGCCAGTTTCAAGAATTATCCTCTAGAGGGAGTCAGGAGCCAAAGATCAGCATCCGTAAGAACTTCACCTCTGCCCCCTGCTGGGTAATCTCGCACCCCTGTTTGTGTACCCAGAGTCCCAGGTGGTAAAACCCTTACCAAGGGGGAGGGGAGCTCAGGACATTAGCAATGTGGAATTAATGTGTTTCTGTCCGGGGTGTCCTGTCTGGGGTCCACGTTAGTACCTACAGGGATTCCCATGACACAGACAGTGTGGAAGCTGGGTGAGCCTGGGCTCACCCTGGGCCTGGGTCAGCCACCAGGTAATGTCATTTGATCAGTGCCACCACCCTTAACCCCACCTATCTGGCCCAGGTGCCCAAATTCCAGCTCTGGAGTTTTAGCCTCTAAGACCAAGTCCAAGTGTGTCCCCAGTGCTTCATCTTTGAACACTATCACAGATTCATCTATGTCAACTAACCATGAACTTGCAATCCTCACTCTGTAGCCTCTGACTGGTCTGGTGTGTCCAACTCACTGAGGCTTGGGCCCCGACTCTATCCAATGGGATAACAGAGATCATTTTTACCTCACAGGCGATTGCGTGAACCGAGAGAATGTGGAAATAGCTTTTTAATACGTGAAGAACCACACAGGGGCGCCTGGGTGACTCAATTATTTGAGTGTCCGACTTCGGCTCACGTCATGATCTCATAGTTCATGGGTTCGAGCCCCGCATCAGGCTCTGTGCTGACTACCCAGAGCCTAGAGTCTGCTTCGGATTCTGTTTCCCTCTCTCTCTGCCCCTCTCTGCCTCTCAAAAATAAATAAGCATTAAAAAATTTTAATATGTGAAGAACCACACAAATGTAAGATCTTGTTTTACAGAGAACCAAGAGTACAGTTTTACTGCTTCATGAGTTATAAAAATTAACAGATATTAGATCTTAGCAGAAAATGTACATGGGCTTGGCTTCAGGTAACAAAGAACAAGATCTGAGACAGAGCAGACAATTGTGGGGGGTCCTAGGGTCCCAGAAGATCAGAGAGTCAGAAGAGTCCACCTTGCAGTGGCTGAGAAGTCGGTGGCTCTGTGTCTCCACCACAGCCAAATGGGGGATTTCAGCCATGCACACCTCAGCCCTGGCCAGCCCTGCCTGCTCCAGGGCCTCCTTCTGAGACCCAAGGACTCCCACTCCCCAGAACATCACCACTCAGAAATCTGCTTTATTTTTTTTTCTATATATACTTGTTAAGTTTATTTATTTTTGAGAGAGAGAGACTGTGCACACATGCAAGGAAGAGACAGAGAGAGAGGGAGACAGAGAATCCCAAGCAGGCTCCACATTATCAGCGAAGAGCTGGATGCGGGGCTCGAACTCACAGCCTGTAAGATCGTGCCCTGAGCCAAAACCAAGAGTAAGTTGCTCAACAGACTGAGCCACCCAGGCGCCTCTCAGAATCTGCTTTAACTCCAACCCAGCCCTTCCTTCTACCTGCACGACATCCAGCCTGGCCTTGCCGTCCCCCACCCCCTTCCTTCCTCCTCCTGTCCCAGCCTGACACACTCCATCCTTATTCCTACCTCAGACTCACTCTGACCCCTAGTCCCAACCCTGACAATTCTCCCTATCCCAGAGTTTACCCTTCACACTACACCTGCCCGCAGGCCCAGCCCCTGCACTGTTTCCGGCATCCTCTGACTTCAAGCGTGTCTCCAGCCCACACCCTACGTGTCCCCTGCCTCTGAGCCTAGAGTTAGGGGGAGGTCTTTTCTCACCTTTCTTCACTCCTCTCAAGGGAACTCCGCAGTTAATGACACCAAATGGCAAGTCAGAGAAAGTAGCACTTGTGAACCGCCGCGCAGAGGGAAGGGAGCTGAGCTAGAGCGGCTCCCAGACTCTGCCAGCAGGGGGCGCTGCAGCCCCATCGGGCCTCGCGATCAGGCTGTGGTTCCCGTTCCACGTGGGTGGGGGGAGTGGAGGAGCGTGGGGGCTTGGGTCGCCCTCAGTCTCTTCCAGAGCGGCTCGCGCACTTCCGGTGGTATGGGAGGTAGCTTTAGGTGGACGGTGGGTGGAAAACCGTTTCCAAAACGGTAACCGTGTGTTGTTTATTCTAACATCTATTAGAAAAAAATATAGCCAGCGTATCAAAACCGTGATTTCGGGAATGTAGATGCTCAGAATAACACTAGAATGGGATTATTTAAAGGTCTAATTTAAGAACAAATGCTAGGTATGGGTGCTTGGGTAGCTGAGTCGGTTCCAACTTAGGCTCAGGTGGTGATCTCACAGTCTGTGGGGTCGAGCCCCGCGTCGGGTTTTGTGCTAACAGCTCAGAGCCTGGAGCCTGCTTCAGATTCTGTGTCTCCCTTTCTCTCTGACTCTCCCCTGCTCATGCTGTCTCTCTCTCTCTCTCTCTCAGAAATAAATAAAACATTAAAAAATATTTAAAAAATAAATAAATAAAAAGAACAAATATTAGGTAACTACAATCTCAGAAGGAACACCGAGTTAGCGAAACTTGTATGGAAGGGAGGGACTTAATCTCGGGAAACACTGGGGTTCTGGTGGAATTAGGGTGGAGGTTATGGATGAGGGTTAAAGCTAAGGTTAGGGCCCGGTTTAGAATTGGGGTAAGGATGGGGTGGGGTTAGAAGTTGGGGTGAGGCCTAAGGTTAGGATTTGGGGCTAATATCAAATTTAGGGGCACATCTGGTGATGAAGGTTAGCAATGGAGTTAAGAACCAATAGCAACGGGGGGCGCCTGGATGGCTCAGTGGTTAAGAGTCAACTTTGGCTCAGGTCATGATCTCACAGTCAGTGAGTTCGAGCCCCATGCCAGGCTCTGTGCTGACAGCTCAAAGTCTGGAGCCTGCTTCGGATTCTGTCTCCCTTTCTCTCTGCCCCTCTCCTGTGTGCGCTCTCTCTCTCAAGAATAAATAAACATTTTGTTTTAATTTTTAAAAAAGAATCAATAGCAATGGAATTAGGGTCACTCTTGAGGCTACAGGGATTTGCTGCTTTAGCAGCTGAAGAGTCCATGAGGCCATGGATAGGAGCTTCTGAGAACCCCTCCATATGGCACCCTAAGTGCTGTCTTCCTCCCCAGCATCCTTTTCTAGAAGCACCCCACAGGGGTTTCACCTGAGCTCACTGAACCCCAGGGGTGGGGGAGGCACAGTGATGGTCCGATCCAGGACTGAGAGCCTCCACCACGAGCTGGTGAATCCTGCCCCCAGCTGACACAACTGGAAGGTAACTACGTGCTAGACACCATTTCCTCACTTAGCACAGGTAACCTCATGGAGTCTTGCCAGGGCCCCTCTGCCGTGACATCATCATTGTCTTTCTACAGATGAACACAGGCTGGGGGTGGAGGGGCAGGAAGGTTGCACACCTTGCTCAAAGTCATTAAATCTGTATGTGGCAGAGTTGGGTTTGCCCAGCAGGGGGCGCCTGTGTCTAGTTTGGTGCCAGCTATGGCCCATGCCCGCGAGGCTGCCTGCTGGGTGCACTGCCCTGCCACTGGAGGGTGGGGGGCAGCTCTCTGCTCTCTCCTTCCTGTACCCTCCTGGTCTGTTGGTCTCACAAGATGAGAAGTTTAAGCTTTAGAAGGCCAACATCCCAATCTTCTGGTCCCAGCCCTTGAACTTATCCTAATTCCAATTTTTTCTTTTATTTGTTTTTAATGTTTATTAATTTTGAGAGAGAGTGAGACAGGATGTGAGCAGGGAAGGGGCAGAGACAGAGAGAGCCACAGAATCCAAAGCAGGCTCCAGGCTCTGCGCTGTCAGCACAGAGCCTGATGCGGGGCTCGAACTCATCAACTGCGAGATCATGACCTGAGCTGAAGTTGGATGCTTAACCGACTGAGCCACCTAGGCGCCCCTAATTTTTTCTTTTAGAGCAGTGCTTCTCAAACCTTTTTTTAAATTGCTCCCATACGGAGACTCTTTAGACATATTTTTCCTAGTCATGACTCCCCCCAGTGAAATTTTAATACCATAGATACCCTATAGTTTTCTCATGATTCTCTACATTAAAAAATCATGTCATCTGCAAATAGAGATAATTTTACTTCTTCCTTACAGGTATCATGTATCTGTTAATGTACTGTGGTCCTTTGGAGGATCAGAAACCATTGAAATATCTAGGGTGGTTAACGGGCCCCTCTTGAACCAAATTTTGTCCTCTGTGGGTTAATATTTCTCCTGTTGAGAAGGCATGACTTAAGGTAAGGTGCCAGCCCCAGTTACAAGGCAAGTAAGAAGACTGGGTGGGCGTGGATGGGTCTTAACCCCTCCTTGTGGCTCAGTTCACTGGTGGGAATGAGGTAGGAAAAGGCTGCAGGGAGATGGAAGTGAACTTGAGCAGAGGTCTGTCAGGACAGGCTTCCTTCAGTCCCTGACTAGGACTGGTGGCTGAGCCTGGGGCTAGGGGAGAAATGGGAGCAGCACCATCATTTATTTTTGCGGCCGAACCTAGGTGTCCGCTCCAGACCCTTTGGGTTTCAGTAAACCAGATGTCTATGGTGATTGTACTGAGAGAAGGGTCTAGAATTTCAACTGACTCCCCTTCTCAAAAAAACAAAACAGCAAGTTTGGAAGGTCTCTGCCCACCCTTACAAAACGCATTTGCTGACAAGTGAAGGGAAAATTCCTTCATTCTTGGCTCAAGGCACTTCCTTAAACTCAGCCCTGAGGAATTCTTTAAAGGCCAGCTGCCTGGACTATGCTAAAGTCAGTTTATAAATATAA